CCCCCCGCATTTAATAATCTTCGAGACAAAACAGGCCATGGTATTTTGTAGTTTGTAGTTACCTTTCCCCCTTGATTTCTGCTGGAGCTTCCCCTCACCAGGAAGTAAAGGCCAGAATTTCTCCTAGCAGACTTGGTTTTGTCCCAGACCGAAACTCGAACAGGGAAGAGGGGTGAGGGCTAAGAAGTCTGAAAAATAGGTAGAAAATGACATTTAAGAATAAGTTTCACCTTAATTAGTTCTCTTTCTGTTTAATTTTTGAAGGGGGTGGTTGTTTTTGTTTTGTTTCCCATCGACATGCATTCATTTTATTGTTATTATTAGACAATATTATTATTTTCAGTTGAAAAATAAATTTCGAGTTGTAAAAACTTGGCAACCTGTTTCTGCTGCTGAATCATACTATAAACATAGACCCTACAGACAGCACCTGCTCCCCCTTTTAAGGACATGGAAATATGAACCTAACCTGGTGATTCCCCTTATGAGGAGTCTCTCTCTGTGTGATCCTTCTATGAGGTGAGGCAGCAATCTGAAAGAGTCTTGCTGATGGATTTTCAGATCTTGAGAGCCTGTGACAAATTTATGGTCTCCTCTAAATTATATTAGTGCAACTTTACAACAAGACTCTAGCATGGCCTCTAAAATAAAGCAATATTGAGGTCTTCCAACAATTCAGAGCAATGATTTGAGAAAGTTATGCTGACAGATAAAAGTATTGTTAAGCTACACTATTAAAAATATTATGCCATAATAAATATAGGAAAAATGAAACAGAAGAGAAGGACAATTGTTAAACCCAAATATGGATAAATAGTACTAATCTGATTGAAATATTTTGAATCAATGAGGAGAGATTATATTGCTGAAGATATGGTGCTGGGATAATTGGTTACCTATTTGGAAAAAATAATGAAGTGCCTTATTCTTGTTGCTCACATACAGACAGACACTAAATGTTTAGATAACAAGACATAAAACTATTGAAAATAGGATATAACAAATGTTATTTTTTATATACTATTAGGATGAAAAAGTTTGTTGAAAGCATAGCACCAGAGACATACATGGACAAAAGGCAACTGGCTCAATTTTGCTGGGGACCCTCTAAGTCTAATGAGTCATGCAGAATGTGCCTCAGAATTATCCAAATTAGCGATGGGAATTTGGATTATTTATCTACAGACGCGAGTCCTGTATTGGTGGTGGTTACTCTGGGAATATTAAAATCTCTGGCACTTCTGAGTTGTCCTAAGCCTGGGCTGAATGAGTTCCCAAGGCGCCAAAAGAGCCTTCAGTAAAATTAGAAAATATAGATAAAGTAGAAGGAAAATATCAGCTTTATCCTTGCCTCAAGAAATATGCTATTCAGGTTATATTCTAAATTGGTCCAAATATTTTACTTCAAAATAAAGACAACACACACACACATCCATTCCCATACTTACGGACGTTAGGCTGTTTGTAGTTTTAACTATGAGAGACATTGTTGATTTAAATTCTTTGTATATAGTTTTTAAAATAATAATATGAGGGTATTCAATTCCTAGAACTGTCATTGCTGTATATGACTATGGATGCTTTTAATTGTCATACAAATTGGCTTTGAAAAATATTGTTCCAGTTTAGTTTCTATAATGTATGAGCATTCCCGTTTTTCAAATGTCCAGCAATACTGAGTATTACCTGGCTTATTGTACTTTTAAAGTGGTATTTTATTTTATTTTTTGGTTTATTTTCTCTATTTCATTTATTTCTAAAAATTTGTTGTCAAGGTCATCAGGTAATATTTCCTAAACTTGCCACATCATAACAGACATTTGAGATTAACAATTCCAGACTCTTCTCTGAAGATTCTAGTTCAGTAGTTTGGAACCAGGCCTGGGAATCTGCATTTTAGTTCCTTTAGTATAATATTGAACGTTGACTGTAAGTTTTAAAAATTTAAATTAAAATAAAAAATAAATAAAATCTCTCATTTTTATGTAAGTGTTCTTAAAAAAACATTATGAAATAATTTAAAAGTTACGGAATGATTTTGAAAATAGCACAAAGTATACCCATATGCCTTCAGTTGCAGACTAAATGATTATTTAAAAATATTGAGTTCAATTCATTTCACATAAAATTTTCATAAATATTAATCTAATTTTGTCTTTGGAGATTTTTTTTAATGCCTACAGCACCCGGTCTTCCTAGATGGTCTCCCATCCAAGTACTAACCAAGCCCGACCCTGCTTAGCTTCTGAGATCAGTGGAGATTCCTCATATAAAAATTTAAATATATATAAACTTGTAATGTCTAAAGATAAATATTTTAATGTATAGTCTTACTAAATGTTCTATACTCACTACCATACTCACATAATTTTTAAATAATTTTTTATTTTTCAATTACAGCTGACATACAATACTATGTTAGTTTCAGATGTACAACATAGTAATTACACATCCATATAACTTACAAAGTGATCACCCCAATAAGTCTAGTATCCACCTGGCACCATACATAGTTATTATAATATTATTGACTATATTTTTTATGCTGTACTTTACATCCCCATGACTATTTTGTAGCTATCAAAATCCCCTCCTATCTAGAAGCCATCAGTTTGTTCTCTGTATCTATGAGTTTGTTTCTATTTAGTTTGTTCATTTATTTTGTTCTTAGATTGCACATATAAGTGAAATCACATGGCATTTGTCTTTCTCTATCTGCCTTGCTTCACTCTGCACAATACCCTCTAGGTCCATCCATGTTGTTGAGGATGGCAAGATTTCATTCTTTTTTATGGCTGAGTAATATTCCATTGTATATATGTACCATCTCTTGTTTATTCATTCACTCATTCACTGATGGACACCCATGTTGCCTCCATATTTTGGCTATTGTAAATAATGTTGCAATGGACTTATAGATGCACACGACCCTTCGAAGTAGTGTTTTGGGTTTCTTTGGATAGATACCCAGAAGTGGGATAACTGGGTCTTTCGTCTCTTGTTTTAAAGTCTATTTTGTCTAGTATAAGTATTGCTACCCCAGAGTTCTTTTTCATTTCCATTTTGATGAAATAT